GACTGGGAGCCTGTGCAGAGGTGCTGTCTCTTGGGGGACAGCGCGGGAGCTGCCCCGGCAGTGCCGCCCTGCATCGCTGTTTGCCACTGCACCGTGGCACCGGGCATGAGCTCCCGCGTGGTTCTCACAATATTTTGAGGTTTCTTCTCCTGTAGTGTATTTTGGCGGGCGCTGGCTGGGACCCCACAGACCCCCGTCCCTGGGGCAGGTATAGGAGAAGGGCAGCGCTCTTGGGGTTCCCTGGTGCCAGGGGAGCCCCATCAGATGGGTCCCTCCATGGGGACTTGCCAGCTGGGTTTACACGTCTGCCTGCATCGTGCCGTTTTTGGCTTTTTCCTTTTCTAACATCTGCCTCTCCCCACTCTCTTGGCAGACCTGTCAGCAGCCAAGCGCAAGTTTGCGGACTCCCTCAACGAGTTTAAATTCCGCTGCATTGGCGACGCTGAAACGGATGATGAGATCTGCATAGGTGAGTCCTGGGCGCTGGTGCCATGGGTGGCCCTGAAGCCACGCTCCAGACCCCTGAGCTGAGCAGAGCATGGGGGAGAAACACACATGAGGATGCCAAGCGGCCCGGGAATTTGTCTGGGTGCTTTCCTGCTATCTGGAAATGGCATATTTCTTCTGGTTCAACATGAGCAAAACCTTCCCAAGGAAATCAATTGTTGCTTCTGGCCTAAATCTAGCCCTGCCAGATAGGAGAGGAAGAAGATTGCCCGTTATCTGAAACCATCTAGATTATCTGGCCCTTTCCCATTGGAGAGCAGGGATCTGGAGATGTGGCCATGGCGAAACACACTGCAAGGGGCTGTGAACTGAAGGAGAGGAGCAGCAGCCTCGCTGCTGGCTGCAGGAGCGAAGGCACCCGCTGTGCCGACAGCAGCCAGCAGTGCAGAGCCTGGCAGCACTCTCCCAACCGAGCCCGGCTCCACCACGGAGCTTCTTGTGGCGCAGGGCAGCAGCTTCAGCCCTTCACTCCATGTTATCCCGCTTCTGCGCCAGCTGAACTTTTAGAGCTTATTGTGCACATCATCCAGAGCCAGGAGAGCAAACGAGCTTTAGCTCTGATTTAACTTCGCTTATTTATTTGTGCCCAGTCTCTCAGCAAAAATAGCTTTGTCTGCAAAAGTACCTTTCTCAGCCGAGTCCCCTTGGTGCGACGCTGATGCTGGTGAGCTGCCACTTGTGCACCGAGCATGGCTGAGGCCCGTGCTGAGCCGTAGGGCTGATCAGCAACCGGCTGTCGGGTAGGGCGGGTTCGAGATGAAGGCGCGGTGTTTCTTTCTGGAGGTGGGAACACGGTGCTGGGGATGCTCTGCTATCAGTTGCTTTTGTAGGCAACTGGAAGCCTTTCTGAGGAGAGAGCAAAGATGATAAAAAACCCCAAGCAATGAACCCCCCCAAACCCCCCAAAATACAAACAAACAAAAAACCCCTGTTCAGTCTCTCTCTTAATTTAAAAAGAAAATATAATGTTGTTAAATGCTGACCGTGCGGGTGTGTCCCTTCCAGCCAAATCTCTGCAGGAGTTCGCCACCGTGCTGCGGAACCTGGAGGACGAACGGATGCGCATGGTACGGCCCCGTCCGCCGGGAGCTGGGTGGGTGGTGGCACCGCTGCTGCCACCAGCGTCTCTGCCCGCAGTGGGTGGTGTGGCACCCGGGGCACCGTGGCGTGCAGCGGCTGCAAGCCCCAGTGTCCCTTCCCTCACCCATGGCAGAGCCGCAGGGGAGAGCAGAGGGAGGGGAGGGTGAACTTTGTGTGGGGGCACACTTGAAGAGCATTAGTAATGGTGTCTTGCTGTCAGAAAATGGCCAGCGCTGGTGCTGAAAGGGCTCACTGGGGTGAGGGGCAGGTTTGGTACAAGCCCCTCAGCCTTCCCTGGGTCCTCAGCCAGCGTGGAGAGGGTGAAGCGTGCAGGTTTCCGTGGGCTGCAGGAGGGTTTCTGTGGGAAAGGCTGTTGAGCAGCTCGGGTGTCTGGGGCTGAGCTGGGCAAAAGGGCTGCGCCAGCCCAGCTGCGGCTGGAGCCGGAGCAC